CCCTGGGAAGATAGGAAAGGAATCTTGCTGGCTTTAAGTAAGGCGTGAAGATCGTTGTGTAGTGAATACATTGTGAGACAAATGTTTTGTGTTCTGTTTCTGCTGATACCTTCAAGGAAATCACCTCAACCTTCAAATGTAGGGAACAAGGCTGTCAGTGTGTTGTAAGTCTGCACACACAGGTGTCAAATATATCAGTGGTAATGGCATCAGGAGTAGTAGGGGTTCTTTGGTACAAAGTTTCAGTTCAGGTATGATGTCACTGGAGGATCTGCCTTGGAATCCTGTGGTGAACCTTGTAAATTTAAATATTTGTTTATTCTGGATTTTTTTTCTTTCCCTCCTTTATGGGAATTCTTGCTTGTTTGATTTTTTAAAGACTATTTGTGTAGTTTCTGAGCAAAGTCCCAGTGGCTGATCTCCCTCAGCTCGCTGTGGCACTGGTGCTCCTCAGGTACTGGAAAGATGCAGGCTGGGCAGGATGTTAGGCACACGAGAGAGAATTCTTATCTGGAGAAAACTGGTGGAAAACACCTCTTTTGTTTCTGTGCCACCTGCAAGGGTTGCTCAGAAAGCTTCCCTGCAGGGCATATTGTTCTGGAGTGTAGGCTCAGCTCTTCCTCTCTGGTGCCAGGAACAGAGAGATGAACAGAGTTCTGTCTTGGAACAAGTTGAAGCACAATGCTGTGTCCCAGCAGCAGTACACACCAATGAAGGGAGGGAAAATGAGCTTTTTTACAACGAGACCAAGGTTCATTTAAGAGTCTCATTTTTACCTTAGGGTAATTGTTGTGAAGTTTTAGTTTACTTTCTGGTGGCAATTTTTAAAACTTGAATTATCTAAATTTTGTGAACCACAGAAGATTAATAGCCTCACAATTTATGCATTTTCTCTGTAGAGTGAAAAAGTGTAACTAAAAAGAAGATATACTGCTGAATTAAAGCTTTGAACTTCAGCTTGAAAATACTTCACAGAATACAAAGCATAAAAGAAGCATGGGGTATTGTTGTGTGCCCTTCTGCAGACAATTGCAAACCATACTTGCTTTGTGAAGTCAGACTTTATCTTGCTTGTTTAATCTTGCTTTTGTACTGGGAGCAAGGTGTCTCACTCCACATGTCCACTTCTATTATGATGAGCAGAACACTCTAGATAAGTGGAGGGTATTCTGTTATTTTTAGCAGAGAAAATGTGATTATGTGAAATCCCATTTGTTATCATGAGAGGTTTAGAAGCCTGTTTCTGCATGATAACAGTTATGCTCTTACCAGAGGTCAGGTTGGGAGAAGGAAGATTGTGGAAATAAAGCCTGGTCTGTGCCACCACTGAAAATACGCCAATAACACCAAAGATTAAGCCTAGTTCTGGAGCATGCCACAATATATACGCCATTCTTTTCTTGGGGGGTATTGAGCATGCCTAGATACAGCTGAAGACAAAAGTATAGTGTGAGAATAACCAACTGATGGCAAACTCTTCCCGCTCAGCTTGCTCAGGTAAATGACCCTGAGCTGCTCTGAACTGACCCTCTAGATCAGAAATGTTTCTCTCTGGTGTAGTGCCAGCTTCTTCTACTGCTCTGTCTGAATGCCAGGTGGAAGATTCCCCCAAAAGGTGTTCAGACTGTTGCAGCTGGGCTGTCTCTTCCTCCTGTGGTTCTCAGGTACTGGGGAGCTGAGGTGAGGAGAATGACAGACTATCCATGGCCTTTTGTTGTAGACCTGTTTTGTTCTCAGATCCTGCAGCTGATCCCTCGTGTTTAGTTCCTCAGCTCTTGTTTCCATGTTTGCTGCCTCCACATCTATTATTTGACTTAACAGGCAGTCAGGACTTACTTTTTGGACATCCTTTTTTCCAAAGCTTTCAGAAAAACAATCACTCATCCTGTTCAGGATACCTGTATGCTTCAGGCTGCTAAGGTTTGGTCCTGATGCTCTCAGTCTGATGTTCCCTGCTGCTGATGTGAATGTCTTTAATATCTTATGGATTCTTATCACCCCAACCCTGGTGTATTGTGTCTGCGTGTGTATTTACAAGCAATGTCAAATCACCACCTCTCTTTTCCTGGACATCAGAGATCCTGTGCACACTTCCTTCCCAGATGGAATCTTGCTGCAGTCCAGACATCTATTTTCCTTTGCCAGCTCTGAGCCACTCCAGCAAATGCCTCCTACATAGCTCAGCAGTTGATTTATGCACCGTGAATGAGTCCCCTCTGAATCCACTCCCTTCTCTGCCTCTGCCATGTGCACTTGAAGTGCCTGAGAATCCTATCCTGAGTTAATTATTCTGATGGATTGCTGTTCCCACACATCCAGCACAGACTCAGAGCACAGGCACTTGAGACACTCTTTTCTCATTTGGGTAGCCCCAGCTCTGTGCTTTTGGGTTGGAGAAAGATCTGCCTCTAAGTAAGGAAGGACAGGACAACACTAACCAAGCAGCAATTTTTTTGGTTCATGAAGCTGTCTGAAAAGTTGTCCAAAAGCCCAAAAGTAGGGCTGTCAAAGCATCAACTACAGATGTCTTAAATGTTCCAGACTGTCTGTGCTTAACACTGAGCTTGTTTTCACCTGACAGTTAAGCGAGTTGGCCTGGTCTGAGTACAAGTGACTGAAACATGGAAAAAATTCAGCTGCAGAAATACAGGGTGGTAAACAGCAAAGAAGTTGTTGAAACTCGAATTCTTGTGTCCTTACTGTACTGTATACCAAAATAACAGCACTATTCAGAATTCAGCCCTTCATTCATGAAGAAAGCCAGATCCACTTTCAGTGTAATCCCAAACTAAATTAGTTATATGGGCAAATGAAAGATTTGAGTAATGTTTAACCAAATTAAAGATGTGGCAAAGGCAAATGTTAACTCTTTACTTTCCAAGGCTAGTTCCTCAACTTTTCTCAGGTAAAATGTGAGTTCCCATTTGCCTAGTCTCTGATTCCCCTGGCTGGATGTTCTGAAACAGTTTCCTACAGACAGACCTATGCATCAGTCCCTGAAATTCACAAAACCCACTGGTTCTGATGCAAAACTAACTGGCATGGCATTTAGTTGCATTTTGCCATGACTGTGCTGGTACCAACAGCAGTTGTGTAGATCCTGGACACCCCCCCCACACACAACACCTTTACAGCAGTGCTTGTTGCTCAGGCTCTGATGACTCTTCTTCCTTATTGTTGTATTGTTGGTATGGATTTCAGCTGCTCTGAACCAACTCCTGCTGAAGGCAGCAAGTTTCCATTGGCTTCATAGGGACTGTAGTGGTACACTTGACTGGTATAAAGGTATTCCATACCAACTCTGCTGGCTACTAATAGCCCCTACTTGTTCCCCTTCCTTGTTATGTATTGGGGTGGTCTCACAGCTGCCAGCTCTGCAAGAAATGTAAGATTAAGTCCAGGCTTCCTGTTTGGGGGGTTTGTGGGCTTTTTTGCTTCTTATGGTGTTTGTTTTGGTTTTTTAATACCTTATCTCAACCTTAATAAAGGATGTTAGTAGAATTCTGGGAGGTAGGCAGAGTGTGTGTGTGTGTGTGTGTGTGTGCATGCCCATATGCAGAGAAAAGCAAGCATTGGATGACATTTGGCTTTCCTAATCCTTGAAATCACTATAACCTATAACACTTAAAGAATTCTTGCCTTGAATACAGCTGCCTGGATTCCTCCTGCTTTTCTTCAGGAAGAAAGAGCAACCTGTATCTGTCTGGTATTGCTGTGGTGAGCCAGTCACAGGTTGCTGAGGGAGCTACTCCTGGATTTTACCCAGGACACCTGCTCTGAATCAGCTCTGTCCATGGCCAGCTCCTGCCATGTACACACTGCATGGGCTGTCTCTGAGCACTACACCTACTCCACAGGCCCTTGGCTGTCCCTAGGAGGACTTTGTAAGTTGTCTGCAATTTGTGCTCCTGATTCCACCAGCTCAGCCTGAACTTAGATCCTGCCCCCACAGGGGGAAACTCCAGCTGAAAATATCTCAAATCAGAAGGAAACTACTGCTTTTCAGTCTGCCCAGCCTCCTGTTCCACCCAGATCTTGTTCCATTCCCTTGGGGTTAAGGAAAATGTGGTCATTTCTAAGACAGCTCTGAAGTAAGCAGGCTTGTGTAGCATACTGCAGAAAAGCCCAAGGGGTGGGGGAGATGCTTCATCATGAAGAAATGCTTTACTTTTGCAGTAACAGCCACCCTTCACCATGGGATTGCCTGCATTTTGTGAGAGGTTGCTCTGCAAGGCCCTGAGAGTTCCATTGCTGGCACTCCTGACTATGTACCCAGGCCAAAAGAGCACAAATTGGTGCCCAGTGTCAGGAATATATAGATGCCAGCAGGGAGACATCTATAGGAGGGAAAAAGAGAAAGGAAAACCAGGCTGTGGGCTTGAAAATAGGGAAGGTGGGAGTAAAATGAAATGCCAGAGGGAAGGACATAGTAGAGGAGATTGTGCAGGCTGAGGAGAGATTAACAGGTATCAGAAAAAAGCAAAAGACATGGGAGAGTTCAGATCAATGCTGAGGCAAACAACAGGGAATGTTCTTAGCAAGGAGCACTAGGGAGTTGAACACAGATGGCAAAGTGAAAGGCAGACCTGAGAAGCTGTAAGGGCAGCATGGAGGAAAAACCTTAAAATCCAGGAATGGGAAGAAGGTGCAAAGTATATGAACAAATATCTAAAATAATAATACTTTCCAAATCAGAAATAATAATTTTCTTTATCTTGATGTTAGAAAGCTGTATATAAACTAAGCAATGGTGGTGTAAGAATAATTTTATTTAATATTTTGGTAACACAATGATACATCTCAAAATTAGCATAGAATTTAGGTTGCTAAATGACTGCATACATTCTAAATAAATGCTACTAAATTTGAGTAACTTCACAGAGTTTGGCTTTATGTGACCAACAGCTATATAGTGTGTAACCCCCTACTGACATGAGCAGTGTGGATGGATTTTGCACTAGTAGCCAATGCACAGTTAAAGCTTTTGGAAGGATAAAAAATTGCAAAAGACTTTTTTTATTAAAATATGAATTGATGATCCTTGCATTAGAATAGCTATTCAGCTGTAGGTTACATACTTTATTTCTTTTAATAATAGCACTTACAAAGGTACAAGAAAAAATTGTCTTACTAGCATTTGATCTAATGTAGATCTCCATATGAAAATGCTGGGTATCTTATAAAGCTTTTCACAGATACAGGCTAAGTTCTGGGATATCACAAACTTGTACATAATTCAGAAAAACACCTGAGGTTACTCCACGTGTAAGTAGCAGAAAGCTTTTTTTAACCCTAAAACAGATGGCAGATGCCATATGAAGCCAGAGAATGTAAGTAGGTACATTATTACTGTGTGGGGTTATAGAGCAGTGCTTGCAGGCTTGGTTCAGGCTTTTTAAATCAGTAGCAAACTTGTACTTTAGGTTGGGATTTTGTTGTTAAGGCAGCTCTTCCCAGTGCCTGTAGGGGCTCTGTCCCTGCTGCCAGCAATCAGAAGTGCCAGTGCAAATCCTTGCTTGCTTGGGTCTCAGCAGAGCTCCTTCACTGTGCAGCACTGTAACCTTGTTTTGCTGGCTCTGCTAATACCTTAGCTGGTACTCGGCTGAGCACAGCAAGTCATGTGAGGAACTGTCATGTCTGATGGATTTCATACGGAATTGAAGGTGTTCTGCAGCTCCAAAGAAGTGCCCAACATTTTTCCAATCTTTTCCCTACTTTATGTAAGACTTTGCTTTCTAGAGAAATATGCAGCTTTGTGAAACAAACATTAGCTGGAGGTTCAACGTCATAAAGTTTCATGTGTGTTTTATTTTAAAATAAGAGGTATTTAAAAAAAAAAACCTTATGAACTTTGCCTCACAAATATTGTAAAAGTACTTATTGTTCAGTTAATGGGTACTTTAATTAGGACATGTAATGTTAATTTTCCTTCTGAGACTTTGTTCCAAACAAATTGTACTAAAAGTACAGAGCTGATTTTCAGATATACTATTTAAGTTAACCTAACAGAATGACTAGTGAGTGAGTAGAGGTATTATTTGCTCTGTGCTTTACTTGAGGCTTGTGGCATTAACATTTTAATATAACCCCCCCAATCTCATTTCTACCTACCTTGATTTTACTAGACTTACCTATGTTCTTAGGGACAACCATATTAACTCCTTCCTAAAGAAACAAAAAGTTCAGCTGTACCTTTAGAAATTGAATTCAAATACTTACTTTGTTCATAAACATGCTAATGAAGAGATTAGCATATGATTTGTATCACCCTTGCCATCTAGTGACAGAAATTCTGATCTTTCAAAACTTTATGGAAAGTTACTATATTAGGACATTCTGCTAATTTTCATATAAGACATGAATTTTAGTTTCAAACATGCTTACAAGCAAGACTTTTATTGTTTTAGGCATTTATGTAAACATTCTGGAATGCTGAAGGCAAGACTTCACATTGCCATTTTACCAAAAATCATGTGAACATATATCATTGAGGCATTAACATACATCCCAGCAGCCAGAACACCAGAGCTGCCATGAGCCTATGGCAGTTTCCAGCAGAGTAAATTCAGGAGCAGGCTGCAGTGTTCTGAGCAACTGCTTTTGTTTGTTTTTTATTAAGAGATTTCACTGCTGAATGTGGAGTCACTGAAGGCAAGCTTAGAGTTAAGACACAGTGCATGGAGACATGGAAAGGATTATGGAGACAGTTCCTGGAGATGCTCCAACCAGTCAGTAGATAAAAAGCACTTCTGTGAACAAGCTAGAAAAGAAAAGGCTTACTTTCAAATTGCATATGTTTTATCATTTAATATATTGTTCCCCTGGCTCTCCTTCTAGAATTAAAAAGATGACTTGAATTATACCTTGTGCAACTTTTCTTCCTGCTTTTATAATGTGTAGTATTGGCTATGTACCAAAAATATCACCAGAACAAGATATGAGTTATGTGAGTCTAAAAAGAGAGAGGGGGATTATCTGTAGATGCAAGGTTTATTGCTTAGGCATTTGCTGACAGCTGACTTTCACTGGCCGCTTTCTCTGCTTGCAGTCTTTGGACAGCCTGATCGAGCAAATCCATCGTATCTCGGAGCGTAACATTCAAGGTGAATGGCTTAGGTTTAATGGTCAGTCCGTAGGTAAAGTCCATTTTAGGGTCCTCGTTTGGGTTAGCAGTGAAATTGCACTGATGCACCAGTATGGAGGTAAAGAGAAAGAGCTGCACCTTGGATAACTCCTCTCCAATACACCGGCGCTTCCCCAGTGAGAAAATCATCACGCTGCTCGTAAGATCTTTATTGATGAACCCATTCTCATCCAGGAATCTTGTTGGGTCAAAGTCCTCGGGGTTGGACCATTTTGCTGGGTCGTGATTCACTGACCACTGATTGACAAAGATGACAGTGTCCTTGGGAATGAGGTAGCCCATGATGAAGGTGTTGGTTGTGGTGGCGTGTGGGATGGTCACAGGCACAAAGCTGCTGAAACGCATGGATTCGTACAGGAAAGCCATGATGTAGGGCAGGTGAGGCTGATCTTCAACACACGGCAGACGGTCTCTTCCAACAATCCTATCCACCTCTTCTTGCATTTTAGCCTGCACTTTTGGGTACCTGTCATTTAAAGCAAGATGTGTGTGCATACATAACACTTTCAGAAATTTTTTCTTACAAATGATGCTTGCTGCAAACGTTTTTTACAGAATCTCACCACTATCCTAAATGATGCAGTTTGAGCAGAGTTTAAATGTATTGCAGGAATGTGTACTTGGAAACTTAGAGAAAAAACAAACTTCCCGTGCACTGGTGTAATTTTAATTTGCTCAGTTTTTACCTTAATATCCCATGTAACTGATTCTCAACATAAAAAATAACAATAACCTAAAGTGTGCTGAAACTGAATATTCTGATCCAACTTTGAAAATTATTTTAATTCTAAAACTAGAATTACTTCTCTCTTCTAAATATTGCATTTTCCATGGGAACAAGAATTTTCCAACTCTGTGACTTTTAAAAGTTAGCATGGAGTTTGTTATCACTAGACATATTTCATACCTTTGAAAGCCTGCAGGTTTCTAAGCTAGAAAAAAAAAAATCTCAATTGTTAAACTGTCAGAATGGCTTTATGAGGTTCCCACTTTTAGTTTGAGAAGACATTTACTAATTAATATCAAATTATGTTTTCTCAATAATGTATTTAAAGCTGACTGTCTTGAAGTCTGGACAGTTTGGAAGGCTACACAGTAACCAAACAAGATCCAAATGTTAATACACCTTTTGCTTGTCCAAAAGCACACATTCTGCCCAGGACCCTTCATTTACTTTAAGTATTCAAGTTTGGCTTCTGCATCCTTGCTTTTTCCTCCTGCAGCAGACTCACATGTCAGATGCTGGGCAAACATGAGAAATGGGGAGAAACCCAAAAGTTATGTGAACACTGGGGCACCACAACCTTTCCTGGAGTGTTAAATATTTGCTGTTTTTCAAGAAGCGACTGAGTAGATAATGTTTGCATATGCCTACAAATTAAGCAGGCGCTGGAAGGAAAAGCCAGGATAGGGAAGAGAGTCGGCACCTTCCCTTAAACCACCTCCCCTCAGTTTCCCCGGCGGACAGGCCGGTGCCAGGGCGGCTGCCCAAGGGGGCTGCCTTGCCCAGTCACGCAAGGGCAAGGAAGGCACACAAAGGCAGCTCAGCATAATAGCGGGTTTGTAAAGCGGTGCACGAACTCTTTGCCGGGCTTAAGCAGTTGTTATCCTGTTCCTATGATCTCCTTGATCTTGACCTGCTAAAATCTGTTACTTTCAGGTTTTACTCGGCTGCCTTTCTGCCAGCCCCTCCTTATACACCATAACCCGACCGCCTGAGTAGGGTGGGATTTATTTTCTTTTATACTTCCTTATCTCTTTCTGGCAGGTTTCCCAGAGCTTCCGTGTTAGTTAATCGGCACCCGGCGCTGCTCGGGCTGGCG